ATGTAAAGAAAAAAAGCTAAAAAGTATCTGTGTCGCAAGACTTGGTTGAACATTTTCCATTACTCCACGTCTCTTTATATATTTCTATAACTCTAGGATGAAACTGTAGAAGAGGCAAAGGAGTAACAAATACTCAAGGGGAGTTGGAAGAGGACGGAAAAACGAGTTAGTAACTCTGACGTGCTATTTGGCATCTTCTCTTAGCGTATAGCAGAAATTTTGTTGAGTCAAAAAGGTTGTGGTGACATCACGTGTTGGAAAATAGCAAAAGGGGTATTTCTCATCCCTGGAGAAATTTTCCTTAGTTGTATGAGTACTGGGTGTTTTGAAATGTGTCTTCAACACAAATTACACTAAGATAATAACCTTTAGGATTTTAAGCTCTTTCATTACTAAATTCCAACGAAAAGTTGCAACACTTATAAATGCAAAATAATTGAAACGAAAATTTAAATAATGTGAAGTTGGAGATCTTTAAAATCAATGATTTTTTTGTCAATTTTTCCAAATGTCGTTAAATTACTTTTTATAAGAAAATTAATTAAATTATTAATTATATTGTTCATGTATGTTTCTGTCGACATGGCAATCACAATTGAAAAACTATTTAAATGAAAAGATCGAGCGTTTTAATACTTCATTGTTGGTGACAAACAAAAACTTGTTCTATGCGTTTTTTTTTTGCTATTTGTAACCTTTTATGAGTTTCAAAAGTACAAGTACTCTTGCTTTGACAATGAATAACTCATATCAACTGAAGCGTAAAAACATAAGTTCAAAATTACAGAACGGAGTTAACATATGAAACATGTAAACTTCCAGACAATATTTATTTGTCATAATTATACGAGAAAAAGGGTAAAGTAGTAGGCTAGGGTAAAGCAAAATATTTAGAATTATTTATTAATTTGTTAAAATGGGCTTAAAAAAAGTTTAAAATAATTCTTATTTATTAATTTTTTGAGATGTGATTTCATTGAAATTTATTAGTATTTAATAATATACTGATTACTTTATTAATATCTTCTTCTGCCTCAACATTTAATTTTATGCTACTTTTTCCTAGTATATTTATATAAGAATAAAATTCAAATATAAATTTAAATTATTCCTTGACTTCATAATAAATATTGTAAAAAGGAAAATAACTTAAACAAATTTATTTTGGAGAATTATGTTTCTTTTGTCTTGGGAGTAGAGCAAATAATTTTCTAGAGTATGAAATAAAACCTCCGAATAATTAAAGTAATTTTAAAGTAAATATTATGTTATTCATTTTTTAAATTTCTTCATTAAATCATAATATCAATGAAAGACAGAAGTTTGAATAACTAAAATTTTCATCTACACTTTTCTAGTTTTACAATTATTTTTTTAATATTTTCATGAATAAAATTTTTATTTGTCACAATCATAAATGTTATATTCCAATTCAAATATCCTTCTTTTTCTGCGACACATGTTAACCAGTTTTTGAATTTTCATTTCTATTGAATTCATTAATTTGAAAGAAGTGTCGAAAATGAAATAAAAAAATAATGTTGACACTGATTTTTTTTCTGTCGAAAACGATATCATTTTTTTTATTTTATTTCTACTCAAAAAATACTCGCAATTGAAAGGATGAGTAACTATAGATATCACGCAAGAGTGACACTGGTCTCGCGATGAAATTTTGCTGATTGTTAACATGAGTCAATGGAGCATGTAGTACACAAACGCTTCCACTTGTCCTTTACCAGTATGGTCGCTTTGTCTCATGCTATCCTATTCTTCCTCTTTCTCTCTCGTTTGATCAAATGTGAGCACGAGACACGATTCCCGGTCCATTAGAAAACGAGTACTCTAACGAACTTCCCTTGCAAGCAAACTATTTCCCTGTTCACCCTCCGTCGCCCTCAATCGACGTGATGTCATCCTGAATTAATCCTCTTCCGTTCCTCTAAGGAAAGCTGAATAAATTTGTTTGCTGACGCATGTTTTTTTTTGCACTGACAAGTCCCGCTTGGTTTTACAGTTGGATAAAAGTAGGTACAAGATTAATGGAGATATTTTTTCGTTAAATTTTTTCTAAGTTTTCATTTGCAAGCGTAACTCGTAAATAAACTGGACAATTTTCGTATCGATTTTCATAGCACACTGAACAAGTGTTTGCTGAAGAATAGCCGAGATTGATGAGTTCCCTCCTATTCAACCCCCAGTTATCTATACAAAAACGTGGTCGCGTGAAGGGAACAATTCACCGTGTTGAGGTCATACTTCTTCTTTATTTCCAAGTAATCAAATGTACAAGTGGATGCCTCTCAGTACGGTATTTCTTCATCACTCTTTGCTCTTGAAGGTGAAATTCCTGTTGATTTTCTTCATTGACTGTCAACCGGATAAAAAAAAATCTTAAGCTTTTTTTGTTGTCTATAGTCTTGAAATTGTATTACAAATAACGATTTTATGGTGCAAGAGATCAAGAAAAAAAAACTCTACACCAAAATAAAATGTCACTGAACTTCAAAAATTTATCAGAGTTATTTTATTTTTATATCGAATGAAACAAAAAACGCCAAATTGACTTTTAGGACTGAAAAAGTGGAGTAAATATAAAAGTTGAATAAATAACAGTTGGAAAATACAAATGTGTCGTATTTTTTTGGTAGATTTAAAACGACAAAAAAAGAGGACATAAAAGCTTCCGCTCCACAGTCAACGTTTAAACGGCTAGTAGGACATAGCGTTGATAGAAAACGAGAGGTCTCTGGAGAATATAAGCGATTGAGTAGAATATTTTCAACTTAAGTCAGACGTTTTCCTTCAATGTGAACGACTTGCACTTCAATTTTTGAAATTGGCCATTCCTTTTTCCTCTAAGTGGATTAGGAATTTATCATCATTTTTATTCAAAAATAAGATAATAATACTATTTCACGTCATTTATGATTCCCATGTGCAAATAAAAAAATTTCAGTTTAAGAACTGATGAAAGAAAACTTATTTTACGAAATTTATATTCTAATGTAGAAAGATAACCGAAAGAGAAGTTTTGGAGTAGGTAGCAACCTACATTTTTTCTGAAGCTTTTCATGTATATCTTAAAAGTTCTTTAAATTAAAGCTTCGAACTAATAAAATTGCTAATAAATAAATAAAAAAATAATTGAATTTTGAAGATGTTCTAAGGCTTGTTTTGATGATTCAAATGAGGTAATCGATATGATTTGACCTAATTTCAAGTGTATCAAACTTTTACATGAGCACAATATAGACCTTGCCAATTTTTCAAAATCTACTTTGAATTTTTTTAATACTAATTCTTAATTCCATTTATTTACAGTTTAGTATACATCAATATAGTCTATTTCCTGCATTTATAAAATGAATACTAATAATAAAAATAATATTAATGCTGACAGTAAAGGTGAGACATAAGAAAATAATCAAAGAAATCATGAGTAGTAAAAAAAAAAAAATAGTTAAAAGTAAAACTAAATGAGTGTATGTTAAGAAACATAGTACTCAACTCGTTATTCATTTTGCACAGACTCTTTATTACCACTAAGTACACGTACCATAATTTGTAATAAAAAATCACATTATCTTGGTCCATAAAAACTCGTGTATAAAATTGATTAGCAGTGTTTATGTAATGGCCTGAGTCTCATAATATTTCCCTCGTATTTCTCAGAGTCTTTAGGTCCATTGAAGTTTGTCTGATTTATATTTGACTGATGACTACTGGCTGCGGCCAGAAATGAGCGCATTAGTCGTGGATGTGTACAAATAGCAACGACGGTAGTATCTTACTACATGTGGAATAGAGCAAGCGAATAGGCAATGTACTCTGATGAGAAAGAAAGAAAAAAGAAGAGAGGATGTGAAAAGGAAAAGAGAGAAAGGGAGAATGGTGTGGGCGCAAATTACTCGTAAAAGTAAAACGACTTTTGTACTAGTAGCTTTAACTGCTTCGGCACGTGGGTAGAGAACGCAAAAGACGAAGAGAAAAGTAAAACGAGTGGCTCGAAAGCTTTCGACCCTACCGACCCTAAGATAATATCGTTACGCCTATCGGCCTCCACCGGCGCCACCATGGAAGCTTCGTTTTCCCGTATCGAAACAGCCGGTTGTTCCCGCTTGCAAGCTTTGTTTATGTGCTATAGTCTTTAACGGAACGATAACGACTCTTTTCTCTCCCTCCTCTCATATTCTTCCACTTTGATTATCGCTTACTTTCCGTTTTCTTGTTGGTTAGTTCTCATGTGATATTCTAACGAGATTGCAACCGAAATTATCTTTTTTTTCTATTTCTCTACTGTTTCTGGTTATTTTAGCAACCAACAGATTTAATCTGTTTTTTGTTTTTTCTTTTCTAATGTAAATAATTAAAAATCAATGATTTGAACGGTTTTTTTCCTTCACTTGTAAAATAAAATTGCTTCAATAAAAAATGTTCTTAAATTCAAATAATTAATTTGATGAAAAAAATAACTTTTCTATTATTCATAAAAATATTTGAATGAATATTTCAATATCGGAAAGGTTTTCGATTTTTGAAATGGTTTAGAGTTATTTATTTGGAAATTACTAGGAAAAATAAAAAATTCCAAACAGATTGGATTAATTATAGACAAATTGAAGAGGGTAGATTAGAGATAAAGGAATGAAAAATAGAAAAGGGGGAAGCAACCGCAATGCAGGCGAGGGCGTTGTCAGGGCGACTCATTGTAACCCTTCATCATTTTATTAACGGCCAGGTTCAAAGGGGTGTCCGGAGAAGTCAAATGATATTTTTCTTCTTATATTTTTTCTGCATCTTCTGAACATTCATGCAACTTTTCCATCTTGAATGAATGTATTATAATTACATTCGTCTTCCACAGTTCATAATATAAATAATAAAACACTATTTAATTGTACTATGTTTTATTCATAGCCATAAAGTTCATTATTTATAATACTGCAATTTAAACGTATAACTGCATAGTCCTAAATTATTCTTTTTGTATATTTCAGGTGGATCTCAAGCCCCTTAGAGAACCTGCTATTGCTGTACCAACGCCACAAATCGGAGAGAAGCGTAAAGCAGAAGATATAGAAGCTAACAAGGATTTAAAAAAGGTAAGAATTCGTTAATCTTTTTTTTTACAAAAAAATAGAAAAAAATGTCTACATTCACACAAACAGACAACAAAAGTAAGACAAAAGAAAAATAGATTTTTAATGAATATTCATGGATTACAATCAAGGACGATCAGTTTGAAACGGTTTTTACTAAGTAAGCTGATTCTCATTACTCGACACAAATAGAAAATCAAAGTGAAACAAAGTGAGGAATAAAAAGATTACAAAAAACAAGATAAAAAAGTAATTTAGTTACTACTTACAAAGCCATTGATACACCAACCTAAATTTCTTTAATTATTAATCACTTTCAATAAATAAAATGGTATATTTACACTTCAGTTGGAAATGTTATAGAAGCCTGACAGTTCGTTAGAGAAAGTTTTCGAGCAGCGAGATATTGCTGATGGACATTGAAATAAATATATATGTCTGCACACTTTAAACCTTTATCACTTGGTTTCATCACTCGAGTTGTTGGTTTAATTTCCATCGCTGTTATTTTCTTTACTATTTCACGCTTTTCGTTTTCATTATTGTTATTATTATTACAGCTATTATTTAACTTGTATTGATGCAGTACGTTCTATATATTATTGAGGAGCATGTAAAAAGCTATAATACTGAAATATGTGAGAAAATGAAAATAATGTATGTATTTTATAATATATCTGTATAATATACGTCCTGCCTGAAGGGAATAGTATTTGATGAATTATAATCATCATTGTTGTTCTTATTGTTGTTATTATTACCAACAGAATGATGCGTGAGAAGACAATAATTATGATTTTCAAATAATGGATTTTTTTTACTTCATTTTTTTGTATATTTTACCGGAAGACGAGTCTGCTCTCCATATACGTCAAATCACGTCAGCAGTTTTTCTAATCTTTTTATTTTTATCATACAGATTTATTGATTAATACGTTCATCGTTTTTTATTATGCTCATCTTTTTGTTGCACATGTAATAAAAAGTATTTCATATCTCATATTTTTATATCTATAAATTAATTAATGCACAATATTTGTTTTTTTTATTTGTGATTTCAAAGAAATGACTTTGGTACGAAAATATTTTTATTTATAAATAATTGATGAAAATAACTTCTTCATTTGTTATAAGTTCTCAATTGAATATTGCCAATTAAATTGTAAAGTAATATTAGATAAAATATTTTCTCTCTAAATTTATAGAATAACGTTTATTTAATTTAATAATATTTATTTTTAACAAAAGAGTATCTAGGGGTTTTTTTTTATCGGAAACTACACTTACGCCAAATTTATAAAATAACTTGGCATTAATTAATATGTGTCATTACTTTTTAAGATAAAGAATAGACAGTGTAAATTGACCTTAACAGTCTTTCATTTTGAAAAGCATGTTGATTGGATTAAAGGTACATAATTAATTTACGTATACCTTTCAATTTTAGCTACAATATTTAAATAGATAATGCTATCGAAACAATTAAAAGCAACATTTAATCATCATCAATTAATTTATCATTTATTGTTAGTTTATTTATAAGCCAAGAAAAAACATTTTTGGCATTCTAAAAATTCCTTAATGAACCAAAGTATAAATATAAGTGAACCAATAAATTATCTCTAATTTTTGTACAGCAAAAAAGTAATCTCTGAATGAGATTATCAACATCGACGTGTGAAAGAATAACATTTTCATCACTAGAAGAAAGGCGTTACCTGATGGGAGCATAAAATTTAGGTTAATAATTCTTGGTAATCTTTCAATTAATCTTTAGCCGTCATTTCTAATGACGAACGCTGCTCACATTTCTGTAATATCATTTCACAAGATTCTTCATACTATATACTGACATTATGTGTAACAATGTCGGAACGTATAAAGTTACCCAGTCCCTGTTGCTTCCGGCCGTTGTGCTTCCGTTGTCTCTTGTAACTACGAGCTTTTCTCTCTATTTTACCCTTCCCATTACTTCCTCTATTTCTCTCTCGCTCTTTTATCCACGTGGGCGACTCGAATCTCGAGTGCAACGGAAACTATTGGCATCATAGCAACAGGCGTTGCAATGTATGCATAGTTTGAGTTGGTGGTTTTGTAGAATGAGCGGCAAACGATGATATTTTGTACTGCTGTACATTTTCTCTACATCTCATACCACATCGATCAATGCTTTCATTACCAACCAACACAATAGAACGTTCAGCTGGGATGTTCTATTTTCGAATCGTGTACTACCGTTGACGGATACGGAGAGAGAAATATCTCCTGGTAGTTCATTAACAGTCGAGTTCAAATATTAAGCACAAATAGAACGTGAAGCGACACTGCTGTCGAAAATTGTCGAGGCTTCATTTCTACCAAATACAATCATTGTGGTTTTATGCACATTAAGATAAGATACTGATATCAAATATTAATCTTTATGTTGAAAGATATTTTTCAATAATACTTTTCATATTTTCATTTGCAAATCATCCGAATAAAGAAGAGACTAGTTATCGGCTCAAATGTTTATTTAAATTTTTACATCATTTGTTTATGTCTATTTTTTTATACGTAAGCTTTAACAACCTTGGAAGTAAGAAAAGGACCATTGGTATGAAATGAGAAAGCAGAGTTAGAAAAGTAAAAAAAAAAAGAGAAAAAAAGTAGCAGGAAAAAAGAGAAAAATAAGCTGAGCTTTATTATTACATAACCAGCCCCTGGTCTTGGTCTTTTCTCACTCTTATCTGCTACAAGATTGCCATAGATAAATTTTCATTCATGCAGAGAACATTCATAGAGTCACCAGATACTTCATGAAATTCATTAACTGCTTGTATCAGCATGGTAGAATTATCAAATCATTAATTTTAAATACATTATATTTTCTTGTTAATGTAATCTAAAGTGAAATTATATACTATAATCTAGCAGTAATCGTTAGATAACAGAGTGTTTTATAATTCAGTTAAGCGCAATCATTAGAAAATTTATTTTTCAGGAGTTTTATATGAAATTCACAAGCAATAATGTCGCAATGTCACACATAGTGACTAATTTCAACATATTTCACTGTACAAAAATGAATTAATTTAATTAATCCTACAACGTTTAGAACATTAGCTTAAAAAAATGTTCAAAACAAACATTAAATCTTTGTTGTAAATAACTTCTAAAGCTATTTATATTTACTATTTATTTAATTCCTAAACCATAAATATTTATTTTTTTAAATTTGTTTTGAGTTTATTTTATGACAATAAATTAAGCCCATACTCTAAATAACCTCTTTTAAAATGTTATAGATTCTTAATGGAGCTTTGGGGGAAAAATGAAGAAATTTTCTTCTTTACTTATTTATTTATATCCTTGAATTTTCGATATAAAAGTTTACAAAAAAAAGTCGAAAAAAGGATAAATGTATAGACCGATAAATTGGACTTCAATAGGTCAAATACTCTTACTGGAAAATCCTTCAATCCACAATAGATAACTTAAGAGAGTCGATATTAGCCTCTTACTATTTACAATTGAAGGTTGATGTTCAAGGGAAACCAAAAGGTTCTTTATATACAGATATTTCCATGAACAAAATGACACTAGTGTAAAAAAAGGAACCCCTTGAATGTGTACAGAATTTCTAGAGGAATTTCTACAGAAAGTGTAGGGTGAAAAGAGAAAAAGGTCTAGTAGACGTACTGCTGGAGAGATAATGTTACGAAAAGTATATCGTTGAAGAGAAAGTGATGAATTGATGAGAGAGAGTAGAGCAGAAAATCTAGAGAGAAGACGGAAGGGATGGGTCAATACAGCTAAAAGTCTATGAGAGTTTTTGCTTTTTGGTCGAGAGACTCGTGCGAAAATTTGCGGGACCTGACGTATAAATACGAGCAACCTATTCAAAGCGCTTTTCTTTGGTCTATTTCTTTTACCCCTTTTTCACCTTTTTTTCTTTCGTTTTTCATTGAAATCCGCACCACCAAGTCTATTGAATGAAGCAACAAACTTGAAAAAAGGCTGCTACCCATTCTACATGCTAAGACCTTTTTTGTCCTGGAGTATAACAAACCCCATGGATCCACGATAACTACTAAAACGAGTTGACTTTGCTTTCACTTACGTTCGCCTTAAATTTTTCCCTGTCGACGAAACCTCATTTATACTCCATCGTAGCTCACCACCAGTAGCAGTTTAAAAACCTTTTGAATATTATCCTAACATTCAAGAAACTCGAAATAAATTTCACGACGAAAACTTGTATTTTCGATCGAACATCGCTTTCTGATTATCAGGGTTAAAATGTTTAACAGAGAGAAAAATGTTGATATTTTTTTCTTTTAGTTTGAACTACTCCACGCTTCCAGTGATTCTATAATTCAAAACTGTATATCAAATACTTTCATGAAAAAATTTGTTCTAATAATCATGATAAATCAACACTCCTGGCAATGCAATCTGACCATAATCAAAATTTCAATATATTTTAATTATTAAATGAAGCAATAAAAAAATTGTAGCTTAATTTAACAAATGAGTTTATATAAATATTTTTCTCTCATAGAATATAAAATATTTAATTAAAAATATTATCAAAGGAAACCAGAATAAAGCTCTGATGAAAATATCAATATAATAATTCGGAAATGAATGTAATAGCGCTACTTGTATTTCAGTTTACAAATTCATTCATAAAAAATTCTCATATCTAAATAAACTAATTTTGTATTCGAAAAATTTCAACTAATTTATTAAATTATGTTTCTAATCGCTAAGTGAAGCACTTGACATTATCATGGCAGACGATTTAGCTATTCATACAGCAATTGTTAGTTATCACAACCACTTAAATGAAAGGGCTTAGGGATTGACCTCACAGAGTGTTGCCCTACATAGAGGAGAGTCTATTATCATAATGCGACTTCCCATTCCACTATGTATAATGACTAGCACGGGCCGTCGACGCGAGAGCTGCGGGATGGACGTGATGTAGTAAGCGAAGCATAAAGCTATCGTTTCAAAGGGGAAGTAAAAGAGAGAGAGAGAGAGAGAAGAGAGATGGTACTCTATCGACGCGTCATCATCACGTGCCATCTTCAGCGAACCGTAAAATATCAAATTACAACGAGCTACTAAATAAATTGAAAGCTTAATGTTGATTTGCACAGACATCATTTTCATGTTTGCAAAACAATAACAATAAATGTATCTATTATTAATAATACAACTGATAACGACAATAATAATAATAATGACAGAAACACTAGAGCTTCTAAATCAAAAAGCAATTTGTTCGCTCTTTTAGATCTTTTTTTTTCTATTTTTTGGCATCAAAATCCAGTATTAAGCTTTTGAAATAGTGGATTGACACTTCACGTTGCTCGATCGACAGTTGACCAAATACTACTGCTTTTGTTGCAGGCGAAATTGGAAACGAAAGCGCTAAAAGCAAAGAGGCCTGGATTCACGGACGAGCGGTACAATGAGACCAGTTATTACGTGGAGAATGGTAAGTCTGTACTATTTTTGTTATTTATCCGATTAGAGATTAATTGCATTTATTGTGTTTTCTACTTTCTATTTATGTATTTTATTATTTTCATTTTATCACGTGCTTGCCTAAATTATTATGGCTATAGAAATTTTATCAACACCAAGATGATTTAATTATAGAGATTTCAAAGATGATTAAAAAATACAAAAAAGGAATCAAACTCATAATTAAGTCTAAAATAAAAATGTTTGGACAGTTGAATTTTTCTTCAGACTTAATTTGTAAAAAAATAAAAATAGTTGTTTAATACAATCTTCATCTTTTGGAGCAAACAATAGTTTAAAAAAACTCTTGTAATTTATCACATAATCTCTGATCACATAAAAACATCAGAATTGAAAATTTCCGATAATAACTCTAAAGCAGAAATTCAAAATAAATCCTTCATAAACATTCAAAGTTGCTCTGTTTGTACTTAGATTTGACGAGTAATTTTTTTAATACTACAATTGAATAGCTAAACAAATAAGGGTGTGTTATCAGTATCGAATAAAAAAAAATATTTGAGCAAATGGCGAGTTTAACAGTGGTAAGCAAAGAAATAGAAAAGATAAACAACTAAATGGTATTGAATATTTAGTATGATGTAAAACTGTCACCTTGCATGTGAAACTGTTATTCGCTCTAGCACTTGATGGAACTTCAATAATTATTTACTGTACAAACAAAACCATTCCTCGAAGAGATGTACGATATGTAATCACATAGTGTCCCTCGTTATCCACAATATTATGTCTATATAGCATAGATCAAAATCTCTTTAGAGTAATGCAGCACATGTACATTGTGTTTATTTTATACAAACTGTTCACACACATGATCATGAAAGTGACATCCTTCAATTAATCTGCAACAACATTTTCGGTAACATTAAATATCAATTTAACTCTCGAATCCTCTTGAGATATCAGCTCCAACTCAAATCGAGTTTATGACTTGAAAAATAAAATACACAATATGTGAGCTGATGTTTTATCAGAATCTGTAAATAAACCTTGTCCACGATTTTAATCATAATAATAGCAGAGTCCACATGGTGATAAAACAACAAATTAATTAGCATCACACGTCGATCAGTTTTCAGATTAACATCAACAACAGAAATGTGAAATCCGCGATAATAATCATCTGATAAGGGTGTTTGTCAGAAGAAAACAGTAGCAAGGAATGAAAATAAAGTACACGTAGGAAATAAGAGAGAAAAAGTTTTAATAGATGTATATGTATACACGCTGATAAAGTTTTGTGTTCAATTGAACTTTTAGATCATAGAATATGTAGTCAAGTATTGGCATCCGATACCCGCTCTACATTCGAATAATAGAGCTGTGTACAACTGAGCAACGACATGCTAGTTTGCTTGAAAGTAGCGGATACCTCCTTGAAACAAAAGTCTATTAATATCACTTGAAGAATGAAAACGATTTGCAGCCAGAGACAACTAAGATGTTTCTTGGTTCTACATTAGTACCTTGTGTCTTTATATATTTTCCGTTGATGCATTCATGTTTTTTGTTAGCTAACATCATAATTATTGAACAGTAAATTTACACCTGTGTCTAGATTTAATTGGTTAATGAATTTTTAGTTAAAAATTTTCAGCTATTTTTTTTTTTTTTAATATTTATTGAAGGATTATTGTGTTGATTCTTTGCTTCTACTTTAGAAAAGTTTTACTTGGAATTAAATAAGTGTGAAGGTTTTGTTGAAAATTGAATTTTCAGTATATTTTGGCACGTTTCTGCTGTGTTTCTCAGACTTTTAACTAACAAAAGGAACACAATATATAGAAAGAACGAGATATGAATGAAGAAGCATGAAAGAAAGTTTGAAATAGAGATTTTCTTTTTAGGTTCTCAGTGAATTGGCGTTTTTATAGTTGAAAAAATGAGTAAATTCGAATAATTTTCATAATGAGTTCAGACATGTCATCTTCAACTTATATTTTTACATACATTAGAAGTAATAAGAAAAAAATAATTAAATTGTGAATAGAAAATATACAAATTTAATGTCTTTAGACTTTTAGAAAATAGTCTCTGAGTTTTTAATCGATTATTTTATAATTGTATTGAAGTATAAAGTGACTTCCTTTGAGATTGTTATTATATTTCAGTGTAATTTAATGTGGTCTATTTCATTCTGGTCTTTTTTCTTCAAACGCCAGACTAGTGCATCACGTAAAAAGTTTCCATAAATGTTACGATTTCACATGAAATAAAATAGAATTATAAAATATGAAAGAAAATTATAAAGATAGAATTGAGAAGATCGAGTCCAAAAAATGTATTTGAATATAAAAGATGTATACAATGTACATGATAGGATGAGTGGAAAAATATGAGAAAAAATTGGATGTATCGATAAGATAAAATCTACATTCCAGAAGAATCAAAAGTAAAGATAGCTCACAATTAAGATTTTTTTACTTGAAGAAATTTTTGGTAAAACCTTTCAAGCCCATATTTTGGATAAGTCTGGGAGATTACGTGATTCAAATCTAGATTTGATCTCAAGCATTTCTACTGAGTCAAGCAGGCATTTACTACCCTTCATTCCTTCGTAGCAGCAAACTCCTTTCTTGTGTTATCGAACCGAGAAATCCTTACTGGGGGGTTTACAGCAATTCGACTGAATTCAACCAATAGGAGATGTAGGGAGGCTAAAAATTATGTTCCAAAACCATTTTCCTCCTTTTATCATTAGTTTTATTTCATTTCATTAATCTTTCTTCAACATTTCTCTCTGTATTTTAAATTCTCTTGGCATTATCTTCAACTGAAAACACAAGATTTGGCCAAAGTTATCAATCAAATTTATTGAAAATTCCTTCAAAAAGATGCTTTTGTCATTTTAAATTTGAAATAGTTAGGATCTCCAGCCTTCATTGATATAAATTATAATTTATTCTACTAATAATAATGACAATATTTTTCATTATTATGATTGAATATAAGACTATTATGTTAATAGTATACGAATCTATTAAAAATTTGATTTCAAGTTTAACTACTGCTGCTAATAATTATTTTTCTTTGAAAAGATAATAAATACAGATATCAACATGCTCATTTCTTTTTTAATTACTTTTCTAACAGAGTTTATTTTATTAAGTTTATTATTTGTTTTATCTTTCACTATATACATTTTATCTTTTTATTTTGTCATTTTTAGTCGCTCGCTCATAGTAAAAAAAGAAGCCAATTTAGCTCTCACGTTAACTTTTTAACTACGAACAAGCAGCTTTTTCTAAACTTTTGTAAAATATTCAGTCTTATATGCATTTTAACTTGAATTATATATATATATATATATATTTAGAAATATATGTTTTTGTTTTAAACTTATTATTCCTTTATTATTTAAAAGTTATTTATCTTGCCGTGAAGTATATTTTTTTTATCATTTAAAACAAGCTTTGTTTAGTTATGATAAATTTAAAAGCTTTTATATATTTATTTTATTCGTTGATTTTTCGTGAATGATATTTTCACTTCACAAGGTAGACAACCATTTCACCTATAAGCTTGTCAAATCCTACATCAAAAATTCAATATTCCCTTCTCACCAGTGCGTATGAATTTCATATCTGTCTTCGGGAGTACGAAGCATTGTCGGTGAAGGGTAGTAAAGGCTTTTATAAACCACAATATATTCCAGTAACCGTTATGGACATTATGAAATCTTTTTATTTCTTTGTTTACTTACTTTTTCCTTTTGTATACATTTTTTTACTTACTTCTTCTGATATAATATTTGGTACTTTTATTTCACTGAAAATTGATAAGAACATTATGATCATATATGAATAAAATAACAATAAATGAAAAAGTAAAAACATCGACGAAAATTAGATTCTAACCCTCGAGCATCAGATGGAAAAAAGTGGCAATGATAAAGAGACGAATAAAAGAGATATATTGTGTTTTTAATCATTATTGTATAAGTTATTGTTAGTTCAGTGAACAGAAAAATTTTTTAGATTAAAAATTCCATAAAATATTTGCGTATGAAAGTGATATCAAGTTGGCATATCTACATAATTGTAATTAATTGTAGTTAGTTATGGAAAAAAAATTGTTTTAGAGATAAAAGAGAAAAGATGATAGAAAACCAAGATGCTGCATTTAATAAATTTACATGTTAAATGGTTTTGAAGAGTAGTGTGTCTACCTTAAAAAATATGTATGAAGATAGATAGGTCAGTTTTTAGATAAAATAGGGTAGTATACTATATAAAAAATGATACAAAAATTATTTAAGCAAATAAATTGATAATTAAAGATATCTTACTGTTGAAAGCACAATTAAAAAGAACAATGAATATCGTGCAGATTTAATTGAAGCTCAAAAAAATGAAATCCCTGAAATTTTAATTGTTATAACTTAGTTATATTACTTTTTTTTAAAGAAGTCTCAGAGAAAAATGTGGAAAAAGGAAAAGATGAGTTTTTTTTTTAATAAAGTCTAGAATATTAAGTACTGCAACGATAATTAAGACTCAAATAATCACTGGAGAGTGAAATAAATATCTCGATTTATGTCAGAAAAAAGAGAGAAAAAAATCAATTTAAATTTTTTTAGAAAAAGTTGTTCTCGTCTGGTTGTGATCGGTTCAAGGCAAAATCTTTCCCCCAGTGTAGTTAAAAGAGAAAATGGTTCGGTTTAATGACAACCTCTACAACGAAAAAATAAAGAAAATACGAAAGAAAAAACAATATCACAGAAGACAAAAAAAATAAAAACAGACATCAGCTTGTGGTTGAATAAACGGAGTCGTAAGATCGATTTTGAAGGGACTGGATAAAAAATTTTCTATTTTACCATATGACAAAGCTTATTCTGTCATGGTTAAACATATATCAGTTCTCATTTTTTATAGGATAGATGAGAATGAAATGAATGTGAAGAGGTCGGAGTCGAATTCTAGGTAATTACAAGAGACTCTGATGCGCAGATGAGTTTTCAAGCCTTGCAAATTACTGAACTATTGCTCGTAGTTGTTATTTTTTCCTCATTTTTATGTTTTCACAATTTTTTTTTAATTGTAAAATCATCAATCTATAAACCAAGAATTGATGTAAATAGACTATGGAACAGAATTTCCTCATACAGTAAAACCGTTATTGCATTTTTCGGAAACGAATGTCGTTATGTCAGTTCGATAATTGACGGAAGAAAATTTGTCTCATATTTTCCAGAAAAAATCTTTTTAAAATGCAGTCAACGAAAGTATTAATATTTAAATGTAATAGTAATTGAGCAACATTGTTAAATAAAATGAACAATTTTTTATTTTATCAGAATACATTAAAGCATAACGTTAATAATAATTTAATTACAAAAAAAAGTTAATAACGCGTCTAGTAATTAATTGAAAAGTAGTTCACAATATTCCTTTAATAAGGTTTTTTTTATTAAAGAAAGACAGTTATTAAATCAGTTAATCTTTCAGCAGAGTTTAAAAATATAATATTAATATTTTCACGTAAAAACTAAAGTTTTTCAAAGTATAAAATAAATTTGAAAAATCTTTAAAGTAAATCTTTAAACTTATAATAAAAAAGTTATTTCGTAAAAATCTACCTTAAAATAGCGCCAAATTATTGATAAAATAATAAGTGTTCTGATTTTTTCTATTTTTAAATGTCATCTTATTTATAAATAAATTCTCCATTCAAAGTTCCTGCACTAGTTAATAAACAGTTAATTCTTCCATTTCTAGAATATGATATTTATATATATATATATATATATATATATATATACATATATACATATATTGTCCAGTAAATATGTATATAAAATGAAAGTAAATCGATTATCAATGAAATTTATATTAAATATAACACCGCCATCAAGTATCCTATATTCAGTGGGGAAAACTCGATAGCAATTAATAGCATAATAGATGCGTTGTGTATTATTAGAAGCTTGACGGGAACAATTACTAGGGAGATGGCTGTTCTCAGATTAATTTTGTGACAGGAAACTGAGGATATTACATGGTACAACTCAGCGCCTCTGCAGAATCAGGAAAATCTAAAATTATAAAAGTCAGTAAGGTTGAAGCAAAAAAAATATAAAATAGAAAGAAAATGAGAAAAGTACTAGAAATGAAAACAGATGTGAAACTAGCCAAGAATATTTTTTTGCTCTACCAGAGGCTTTTCTAAGAGCATGTTAAAGTTTTCCAAGATCCTCAAATCTTTGCCACTTTACTCGTTGTCTCTGTCTCTCTAGTCTAGTCATATGCGATCATGTTTTTGCAACTCATGTGCATGTGAACAGGTTTTCTACATAGGTACCATTGTCTCTAGAGACCATGAAGAGCTTACAAGCTCTTCTTTCTTCCCTGATCATCTACTCTTGTATTCTTCTACTTTTCTTTTACCAGTAGTTTCATCGTTCTTCTTGATGACTACATACTCATAACAGTCTTCTGACTCTTGGCACGTTTTCTCTTCACTTAGAAGTGCCTAAAATCTCAATTCTTGATTTTTAAGCTTCTTTACTTTATAAGCACAAGTATAGCATGTTTAAGAGGAAGATTATTGATGAAGAGATCAAGGAATTTAAATATTTTGGGATATCATCATTTAGGTCAAGTTCTTTTTCGAGGTTTTTTATTATGAAAATTATGTTTAACATTTATATTTTCTATTCAAGTAGTTTTTATTCTGCTAAAAAATCTTTCATGTCTAAAAAACATTTCCCCATATTCTTGCTTTTCATTAAAATTTTACTATTATTATAGAAAGAAATCATCAATTGAAGATGTATGATGATAAATTATTAAATTGTATCTTTTTATCTTTGATCTGAGACCATTATAATATTTTTATTAGAACATGACACGATTATTTGTGAGAACACCTTCTTATTGATGATGACTAATATATTTACTTTAGTAATTCAGGGGCATAAAAATTGTATTTACATCAATTTCATTCGGTCGTTTATAGAAATTACTAGGTGGTGAAAATATCATATATTATTCAATTTTAATCTATAATAATTGATTATAATAAACAGTGACTAGTATATTTTTTCAAGCATGAAACGGATGTGAGAGCAATTACTCACCTTTTATTCGATCGTTTATCAAAAATATCAAAGAAAAGCTATAAAGATAGTTTGTTTATTATTAATTAAATCTTAATAGGTAGTATTAATAATAATAATAATAATAATAATAATAATAATAATAATAATAATAATAATAATAATAATAATAAATAGTGTAGTATTGCATAAAATTTATCTTTGTAATAATTTAATGTCAGGCGTATACTTTAATTATTAATTATGCCTCTACCTTATATTTGAAAAAAATAGGCTTATTTATTTATTATCTTGTATTGACGGAAGTTGATTTTAAGATAATTTATTCTGAAGAGTTTACACTCGACATTTAAATTGAAATAATTAATAAAATTGGTCTCAATTGGAAATGATAATAAAATATTTTTTCACATTATTTTTTATTTAAGCTGGAGTAAAAAACCATTATATTTAATTTGATAAAGGAGTTAAATCATTTTCATAAACACAATGAATTTTACAAACATATAAAATCTTAACTGGCCTATTACTCGACACATTCACCTCACTAAATTTTTCAAAATTCATTCCACAGGACTACGCAAAGTTTATCCTTACTACTTCACCTTTACAACTTTCACCAAAGGTCGTTGGGTCGGCGAAAAGATTCTTGAGGTGTTTGCTCGTGAATTCCGTGCCCATCCAGCTGAAGAGTATGAACGATGCATCCGCGCTGGCACCCTCACAGTAAATTACCAAAGGGTAGATGTCGACTACAGATTACGACATAATGATCTTCTAGCCAATGTAGTGCACAGGTAAATATTATTTATTTTTTTATTTAAATTAAAAAGTAAGAATTTTTTGAGTATAACGTGCTGGATGATAAAATTAATGAATGTTGAGATTAACAAGCTAGGACAAAAGTCAAGATAAATAACGTATGTGACAGGCATATTTTTGAGGGACCAAAAAAAAATACTGGTATGAACATCCTACAGTAGAGTGGTGTATATTCAAAGGATTAAGGCTTATCTCAGTTCAAACGAACAGTAGCTTAACTTATCCAAAGTGTAGCTGAGCATTTATCTAGAAAAATGAACACAAAAGGATCAAACAAAGTATTTTCATCTGCAGGCAAGTTTTAGTAAACGTGAAATATTAATGTCTTATTACACGTTATTATCCTGTTAAACGACTGAACGAGCTCATGTAAAGAGTATGTAAAAAAGAAAGGAAAAATTATTGTTATAAAATATAACCAAGTATTAGGACAACAGACACAAAAGTCATTACACTTGGTTTTACGATTTTATCGTCATGAGTAGATACACAAAAGACAGGGCAGTTTAAAAACAGAAATACTATGAAAATGTTTTCAACAAAGTCAGCTAAAGGGATTACATTTGCTCGTTCTCTTCGAAGAATAGTATTAAGCTTCACGAGCTGCGCGTTGAAATGAGGAGGAAAAAAAACAAACACTTGAAATTTCTTTTAACATCTACTTTTGTTACCTTGTTTTCTCTCTTCTTCAACCCTCCTGGCATCTATCTCAGTTTCCTTCTGCTCCATCAAACTGTTGCTTCTCGTCTGTACAAACGCTACAAACTCTAGTGTAAATGAAACAAATTGTGAGGCTAGACTTTCTGGTTTTCACCACTTCAACTTCATTCTAAAGGATATTTGAACAATACCTAGCTAAATATAATTACAACAGAAGCATCGACGTGTATGAAAATAATTTTCTTCAAGTACCCACTCTTATATTCCATTAACCATGGTTATGAGAGGCAGCTGTTTTTGTTTGGTTTCATTTGATAAATATGTCAAAGCAACAGCTTTTTTTATTGTCAAAATCAAGTCGTAGACATATGCAATCATTAATTTTTATGAAACATCACTAAAAATCTGCAGTGTATTAAAATCTGTCATCAGTTTATGGTAGTTTAATATTGAACATATTTATGTTTACTGTAAAACACTTTGATTTGCAGTGATCACTTTGTTGGTTTAGTTTTAATATTTTTTCGTAAAATTATTCGATACATTTTGAAACTAAATTTTTTTTAATCAATATCGTAGAGCTGATATCCTTGAATAAATATAGAAGAAAATTTGCAATCAAATCAATCAAACTTCCAGCTATCCATTGATTTGTCGTTATTTCTTTGGTATATTTTTTTGTAAAAGCTCTCAACTTATTCATGAAATCATAAAATTTTAGGGATATAGCTTTTCATTGAAAATATGGATTTGAGTATAAGGAATAATTTTCCTACTTTTTTTTAGCACCTCACAAAAAAATGATACTGCTTGTTAAATCTTTAAAAAATTATCAGTGAAAAAATTGATAAAAGATTGAACAATTTTACATTTATTGCTAATTGCTCAAGTATTGTAGGCTACATCTCATTATTAAAGGAAAAATGAAAACAAAGTTTATAAATTAAAACAAAAAAACTTAGCTACTTTTTTTAGTAAATATGATTTCACAACAAAATAGAGGGTCTAGTGGTCTGGTTGTTACCCGAAAAGTCCACATGATGAACTTACTAGTGAAAGAATAAAAATACCATACTTTTTTCATTTCAGGAGGCTTTGCTCCCTCCCAGTGCCTATATAATGTGGAAATCGGCTATTTTTATTCTTTTCAGTTTTTTATTCGGGATAAAAAACAACTTGACCAATTTTGCTCAAAATCTAATCAGGTCTAAGTTACATAATTATGTATTAAATGAAACCGGTCTCATATCAGTATCATCATTTGTTCTCCAGATACATGAAAGTTAAAAAAAAATATTTACTTTCGAGTCAGCTTGGAAATGTATCCTGATAGTTTTTAATGTTCATTTTTATGCTTTACTTTCGTTATCATATTACCACAAAAATTCTCTGGTTTTGAAATTCAGAAAAGAAGAAAGGAATTTGCTTTCTTCGAACATAATGCATTTTTAATATCAACCAAGATATTTTATTCAAAGAAATACTTTTCTTTAAAAATTTACATACGTATCTTGAAGCAAAGATTATAACTGTTGGATACTATATCTGTTCATATTGGAGCAATTACTGCTTCAAAAAGTTTGAAAATGCAAATCCTTGAGACAGATCTCGAGTTGTATATTCACGACAAATTAAACTAACGAGCTGTTCTCACAGCACAAACTATTCTAATATACGTTTCTAACATATCATCAGCATTCATAAACATCTCATTGTTTAATTAAAAAATTATAAAAATTTTTTTAAAAAGATAAAAAATTGATTAAATGATAATAAGATGTAAACTTTCTAAAAAATTAATCCTGGTAACTTAATCTTCATAAATATTTCTAGATTAGTCTTTTTAGCGTAGTTTTATATGACATACTAAAAATACACTCCTGATGTGGTGAAGAAAAGTTGCCTTAAGACCATTGTTTACGATGCAAATGTAAGTCTTTAGCTATTTTTTGGTACATTTTTTTCGCTATAAATTGTTAGAAAGTGAGCTTGTCAGAATGATTTTTTTTGCGTACTTTGTAAGGATGAAGTAATAAAGTGGGAGACTGCACAAATTAGGTTGAAACCCCAGCCAATTTCCAAGCGAGAAAGGTCGAGTGAAATTTTATACTCGGTTTTTTTCCCCTTACTTAAAATATTCTCCCTTTTATTTGTACAATACCTAGACTAACTTGAAATGCCTCAATTAAGTTTACTTACAATTTAAAAAATAAATGAAAAATATTTAGCTAAGAGGATTTTAGACTTTGGATAAGAATATTTGAGCTATGACTTGAGACTCAAACAATGCTCCATTTCACACAAGTACACATATAAGTTTCATTGAATTTATTTATTATACAACAACTTCTACACGTGACAAGCTAATTCTATGGATCCATTTATTTATGGTCTTTCTTCGTAAAAGTTACTTTACTACACCACACGATTGCACACTAGGTCGTTAGATAAATCAGACAACTGTACAAAAGCAAGAAGAGCAACATCCAAAAATGTCCCCGATGATATTCTTTTATACTCGTGGAAAATATTTTACTTGGAGTGAACAGTAGAAGCTTCTGAATCTTTCTTCGTTTCGAAAATAAATCATTTTCTTAGTTAGTACTCAGCCGTAAAATTAATCTTTTATCTAGATGATCATCAGATTCAAGTATTTGTTGTTTCAGCGACTTATCTCAATAAAATCCTTTAAATAAAATCTTAAATCAACACTTAATAGCACAAAATTAAAATCATAATATTAATTAATAAATTATTAATATGAGATAGACAAATAACTTTACTAGAAGTTTGAAATTTTTTATCTGTTGTTATGAAAACAAAACATCAAACAATTGATCCACATAAATATTAATTTATGATGGTTGAATTTTTAATTTATACTTTTACATCTAGAAATTCATCGGTGATAATTATACAGAAGTTGGTAATCCTCCACGTAGGATAATTAAACAAAGCAACTACAATTTAGAGTAAAAAGACTTCAAAGTAAAGGACTACAATAAAGACATATCTAATAATACACACAGTTGTATTAACGGTTCTCTTGTTAATTGTAATAATGGCTCCCTATATACAACTGTTATAAACGTCAGCCATAAATTTATGTAACTACGTCAAAGTACACCTTTTGCGTTTTCACTACTATGCAGACACATCACACAAAAGAGAGAAACCTTTAAATTTAATAATAGTAAATTCTTCAAGATAAAACTTGACTTTTATCAATAGTGAAAATCCACCAAGTTAATTTGACATTCGACAAATACGTATTTTTTGATGACGCCCGCACACATTTGAGAGGTTTTCCAAAGTGATTAAATGTCAGAAAATATATAACCACAATATTTCATCGCAAGCCCATTCGTATATTTTACAGCATCATGACCGAGATTTAGAGAAAAAAAAATAGGTGTTATGCATCATTGAATGCAGAGAGGATAAAAAATGAAAATAAAGTTGCAGGTGGTTTAGAGGGTGAAAACAAAAGGCTTCGAATAGAAAATGACGTGAAAAGGTTAAAGAGTATAGCACATGTGTGAGGGTTATAAGTATAATTGGGTCATAAAGCTAAGTTTCGAAACAGAGTTGGCAAGTTAGACTCTTTGTGTCTCTGAGATTGTCTGCTCGAGGCCCTGAAGGATTGGAGTACGTGAGGGAAAGAGATAAAGCGGTTGATGATGAGAAAAACATCAGTGAGGCAAAAGATATAAAGACGATAGTTACGGCACACATTCAAGCATGGCATCTAGCATATAAATAACCAAGTGCATTTACGAGTCTAGCCAAGCATATACTCATCGTCATCCAACGTTAAAAGATGGTTAACGTTGCGATTACTGCACCCGGGCTAATTACAGGTGATAATCGTTGATAGAATCGTCGCCACATTGGTATCACGAAACACGTTCCAAGGTTCAGTTGTGACGTCAATTTGATCGAGCATGTTAGTTACGACATTTAAAGCTGTCTACCCAGTACCCGCTTGGATGCATCGTAAACCGCCACGGAAACGATGCGGTAACAGAAGGTAACGAGGCACTTTCAGTGATGCTTAACCGCACTAGCTGAGGAAGGAAATCTTGACACCCTTGAATGCGCGACAGCTTCCACCAGTAATCGAGTACCATCCAAGCTCGTTTTAGATCTGCTCAAATATTCTCGTCTACTTTACTCAGTTAAATCTGGAACTAGATAGAAATTCTTCGAGTTGTTTCGTTGACTCTCTGAGGAGTTCCGAACCTATCAAACAACTCCAATCGGACATTCGTGACAGCCCAATCGAGTGCTGTATAAAGTTCATGAATACAGTCAT